ATAAAACAAAATTCTCGTAATATACCAAAATATATGACAAATGTTTTCGCAAACGGACTGAAACTGTCAGAGAAAGAGCAGAAGTTCTTAATAACCACTAACTTATTCGCGACACTGAATATATAATTGCATTACTGGGATCACAGAGACATCAAACACTCGATACAAATGGAAATATTGCAAGCTATGAAAATTGACCAGAGAATTTCCAACGCTTTGTTAACCAATTTCAAGAAGAAAAATACCAAGCTTCTTTACAACTAAACAACGATCAAAACGAAATGCCGGGGAAGGAAAATAGTTGGTCCATGACCAAGACCATCGCGCTACAACCCTCTCAGCTTCGATCACGATCACCTTCTCGCGATGCGAGCAAAATGGCGCCAGTAATAAAATCCGGAGAAATCGCGTGCCGCCATCGCGAAGAGTCGAGCAAACGCGGTCGTTCCGAAGGAACACACCGACTAATAAAAATGAAAAATTAAGAGGAAAAATCGCACACCGACAGGAATACGCGAATACGCGGCTCTCGAAATTATAATACGTATTCTGAATCATGCAAGAGCCGTCTTTATACGAGGCAGCGGCTGCCTGCAATATAACCATAAAATGCAGATAATAGCCGCTAGAAGGTATTGAAGGGTCGCACGGTTGTGAAACGGTAGAAGAAAGAGGAGGACGGGGTGAAATTGAGCAGCAGGAAGGAACAGGCCGAGAGAAGAGCCTTCGATGTTCGTTCTTCGGTGTCTTCACGATTATTCCATAACGCGTTACCACCGATGGTTGTCCGTATAGTTAGAAGTGAGGACGTCTAGCGAGCTTCCGTAGGCTACTCAAAGGGGTTTCAGAATGGGAAGTTGCGTACAACGAGAGGTTGATGGATGCGAGATGTTGGAAGCTTGGAGAATCGAAGATTAACATTCGGTCATTTTTGTAGATTTTTCATACGATGGATTGGACTGGAATTTTCGTTCGATGACGAATTGGCCGAGTCTCGAATACTCGGGTCTATTGTTGGCTGAATATCGTCGGCTGGCATCATGCAACTACTTTTCACGACGAGAAGCAATGCGTTGAATATTACAATTGTCACAGGGAACATTTGTAGCATTTATGCAAACATTTAACATGCAGAAATTTCATTATCGATACTCGCACCGACGATTAAGTTCATACGAAACATGCTAAATTTCGAATAAAACGCGAAATGGAGAACCGAAAATCGCGTAATATGACATTTGCATACTTCACATGCAAAAAAATCGAATAATCTATGGCCACATATATATGTACGAATAGCAACAAAATAACATAGGTTTTAATAATCGAACGATAATGGTTGTTATCGTACCAAGGCCGTCAATGGTGCAGAACTCGTGAATCGCTGAACCTGCACTTGCGTTGCAGTTTGCAGTTATGTTGCATGCTGCAACAGTAGAAAATACATGACTGCTTAATTAGAGAATTTTTCTTCCTCGTTTTGACTTTCGCTTTCACGCCTAGTCCTCGATATTTATTCGATAATGCTAGAAAACAGTATCTGAAATATTTTTCTTTAAAAGGTACACATTTCCAATAATCATTATATAACAATCATTTTGCATTCCAAATCATCCTGGATCATTCTGGATCCTTTCAAAGTTCAAAAGGTTAAATATCAGTAATATCCCTTTCTCAATTTTCTAACAATATCTTAGCCTCCCCTTATCTTTCGATTTTCCACAGTCACCACCATATTTCTTTCAAGAATTCGAAATTACATCAGAATTTTCCAAGCCATAAATCTCCCCCGTTGTACGTATACTACGTAACACGAAGCTCAAACGATAAACTGTACACGAGGAATTAGCACACGCCCGAAAGGCTTACCGAAACAATTAACATCCGCGTAAATCAGGAAATATGTGTACCAATCTGATCCTATGAATCTATAATCTTCCTTACGACGAAGATTCACCTGGACGTCGACCGTCCCGACACGAAATGGTAAATTTTCCAAAGAGACGAAGCACTTTCGTTGAGGATGACTCGAGATCGTGACAGGAACGGGTAGCGTTCCCGGTTTCGTGGGTCCGGTTGAAAATCGAGGCGACAGCAAGAGGACGGAGATTATCTCACAAATATTTGAGAGCAATTAGATGTTTGCTCGTCTGTTACCGTGTTTACATTGTTCCCCGTATCTAGACCGCAGAGACGTGTTTATAGCCGAGCACGATGTGCGCCAAGTCCTCCACGGTTGTTTCTTAAAAATCTTTTTCGTCTACCATTCCACTGATCGAAGTAAGCTTCGCTATGGTCCATACGAATTGTCTTTTGCTTAGAAAATTTACATAGGATTTTGCAAATTTTCTCTACTAGAAATTTCAAAATTTCCTTCACTTTTATCTCAAATCTCTGTGAAAAATTTTTCATTACTATTAACCCTTTACACTCGACGACTTTTTCGTTACAGAAAAATAGTAATTCGAAGACTTTCTGTCATAGAGTCGACGAAATTTTTAAAATGGTAAATGAGAAATCATATGCAAATTAAGACGCAGAATTATTTTTCTTCCACATTTCACACTTTTTAAAATGGTAAATGAGAAATCATATGCAAATTAAGACGTAGAATTATTTTTCGTCGACATTTCACATATCGTTAGGTAATTTTATATTTGATATATTAATCAACGTCGATCTTTAGAATTTGATTAAATGGTGACTGAGAGTCACCTCTCGAGTGCAAGGGGTTAATATCATTCGCGTTTGGTAATTTAGCCATGTGTTTGTGCAAAATGTTTCGTTGAATAACATTTTGGATACAGCTTTTTACTTCGATCAACGAATATTTGTGAACAAATGTGGCATAAAATTTCTATTTCGTTATATAATATTTAAATTTTTCTACTTATATTTTTATAATTGTAATATTTTTATACAGAAACGGATAGATTGGTCAGAAAAATGATCTCGCACGGGGTTAATCCTGTTTGCAAAGGTATGTTCTCTGTGTATAGAGTTTAGCTAAAAATGCTGTAAAATTATTAAGGATCTGTTAGTTCGAAACGATAACTACCCGTATAAATGTAACAAATTCGCGTGATATATACGTATTCTACTATGATTTTACAAGTAATCTTGTACGAATAATGGGAAGCGTGTCCTCGAACATCAGTGATTGTAAACATACAGGTCAGGCTTCTTCGTCATTAATCTTCAATGAAGAAACATCAATTGATTCCCAATCAATACATATGGTATAATAACATGAAATATATTCGTAATTGTAGAAACTATTTGATTTTGTGCTACCATTTGTTCACAAATAGCTACGATTTCCGAAGAAGATATAAAGGTATAAAAATATAAAAATATAAAAATAAAAATTCGTATCGCAATTATAACAGAATGTCAACTTTCGAGGTAACACTTTAAATATCATAGAAGACTCTTTACAGTAACATTTGAAATTTCGTTTCTCGTTACATCGAATTTACCTTCTATCGTATATTACAAAATTATCGTGAGGCTAAACTCACTATTCGTAACATGACCTATAATTTACGCTATTCGAAATTATACGCACCACTGTACAAGGATATATTTCGCACCGTAAATACCGTTTATGTTGATACAGAGAGCCAACGTCTTAGGATATCGCATTATCGTTCTAACTTTGAACTCCGAATTTTAGTGCCAGATTACTAGGTAATTACCCGAGCTAAATCGGTATTATATACTTATAATTGAATCGTTTCTTTGTCAGACTACTCGTGAATGAATGGTTAAAAGGAACCACGATGATGAGCAAAGATAGAATCTAACGAAAAGCTTCGCGACGATGATCGACGCTCCATTAACGCGGAACCTTATCGGTATTAGCGAGAAATGTTTTAATTCGTCTCATCTATCACGCGAGTTATATCGTTTACTTTAATACGGGCAATTAGGACGTCGAACGAGGCAATGTAAAGACAAATCACGACGCGAGAGAGCTCGGGGATCGATCGTATAAATTATCGATGTACTTCACGATCGAGGAGACATGGAACTTCCGATAGATCTTCTTTTAAAAATTACAAAATTTCAAACTGCTCTTTCTAAAGCTCTTCCTAGAAATGCTAAATCCCATTGAACGCGCGATTCGAAAACTCGTAAAGTATTATCAGCAATAATAACAATCCGTCGCATTAACATCGCCATCATTGGATCTGACACATCCTAAACGGCATTAAGATTTTAACGAATGACTTTGTAGAATCGCGTTATCTGTCGCTCCTTTTGTACATTGGTTGTCTGTATCGATTATTTTTCTCGAAATTCAGCAATGGTGATGTTCGTGCTCGTCATTGGCGAACAAAGGGATTATCCGTATCTCTACCCATTGAGTTTTGGTTACCTCGGTGTAATTAGTGGATTAAAGCTTAACCTTTCGTGACCCGTATATAGCACACCATTCTAGCTTTGACTGTAGGCAGAAATCAGTTTGAATACTCGATATATCGGGAAAGGAACCGTCATTGACGATCCAAGTGGTTTGGCTACCCTCGGACTAAATGGAAGATTTGCGTTGAAACTTTGGAACTTTGCTTCGAACGTTAAAATCTTCTATTTTAATCGATATTCCATATTTTTGGATAACAATAGAACGATTTCTCCATAGTAATTAAAAAAAGGTATTTCTAGGAATCATTTTAAAACGAAACAGGTATAAGACATTTACATCTACTTAATATCGAAAAGAGTTGAACAAAGTCGTACTAAGAAATGGAATCCGTAATATTTGTAATATTTATCGATACGAAAACAAAAGAAATTAACGTATCAGGTTACTGGACCATGGTTTTGTTCAATCCAGATCTCCCATTTAATTCCTTTTAAGTGGAAAGTTCAAGAAATTGCTACCACCCGTGTCAACAATCGTCACAAAGTCTCTTGCAATTAAATTTAATTCAACTCCCTTGTCCAAATTCCTCGATTATACTAGCCCAACCATAACGATCATTAGCCACACTAACCTGGATTCGGTTGAGTTTGGTACGACGTCTTCTTCATCCACTCGTACGGGCTCCTGATCTGCGTCGGTCTCATGGGCGTCGTATTATTGTTGTTATTGCTGTTGTTGTTATTATTATTAGGCGTGATGGTGTTGTTGTTGTTATTGGCCGGCGGCGTGGACGGAGTGCCAGGATTGCTGATCTCGCTTCCGCTGACAGTGATCGGCGGACTGGGCTCCCCAGCTCCGACCGCAGGATTCGTCTCGTCACCGCTCCAATCCGTCACGCCGGTCATCTGCGGCTGCTGATACGCCTGATGATGCTGATACTGCAGATGCGAGTAAGGGTGAACGTGAGGATGTGGCCAGCCGGGTATAACGTCCGTTGGGTCCAGGTACTGTTGAGGCCCAGCCGTTTGATGATGATGGGTGGCGTGCGAATGGCTGTGCGGATATCCGTACCAGTATTGCTGGCCACCGTCGGCAGGCGTGGCTGTCGCGTGTTGCTGCGCCTGTTGCGCCTGGCCATGTTGCTGGATCTGCTGCACCAGCGGTTGCTGGCCAGTCGGCTGCTGTTGCTGCCGGTACATGGCGAGCGGATTGTAGTAAGAGACCATACCGATGCTGCTAATGTCCGTCATCAGGTCGGCTGATCCCGTGCACCTGTCACGGCCACACGTCACTGTCGACGACCAAGTCGATGATCCTACGTCGAGGTTATCGAAGCCGCGCCAACACCGTGCTCTCTGCCACTGGCATGCGCGAAGGATGATGTAGATTTGGTTAACCGGGTGTCAAAGTGAACCGACGTCAACAGCTCGGCGAGTCTTCCATCGTGGGAAGCCAAGGTGTATCTAACTTGGAACTATGTTCGAGTTTCTTTCCTCGAAGAGTCTCGTCACTTGCACGGAAACACCAAAAACTAGGAAATCGAGCGTGTGGCGAACACTGGAGTCGAACAAAGATGGTCTCGCGGTAGCGAAACGGCGCGCACGCAACGTACGATCGAGGATTTCGTGCGTTCCTCGATTTCACGGGATTCGACTGCAGGATGTACGATAACGGCCGGTGACGTGTCGTGGATGTCCACGATGTTGTATCGACGACTGCTTGCTGGTCTGTGATTACCGAAGGGTGCGACCACGTTAAGACGTTGAGTCCGCCTACGGCCCGGTCTCCTCCCCACCACTTCCGCCGTTCAGCCAATCGGCGCACGGTTCTCCGCTAGTCGTCCGTAATGGCGTCCGACCAGTCTCCCGACGGCCAGAGATATCGCTGGCCGATAAAAAACGCGCGGAAGGCGGCACTCACGCCCCCGTAAACGCGATTCTCCTGTAAAAGACGCGAAATAGACAACATTTTTCGCACTTGTCGCATTTTACCAGCACTTGTTCGCGTTATGGAAATATATCCTATGTCTCTGTGTATTTACGCGACCCCTCGTATCAGTGGGGGAATTCTCGCGATCGGATGCACGCTAGAGAATCGAGACTATCGGACTTGGTCATGATTTTATCTCCACGGTAGCTGGATAATTCTATTTTTTCCCGTTTAATAATACTTTTCTATTGGTCGGAAATTATCTTTAAAGCGTAAATGATGGTATCGGTTAGGAATAAAGAGATTTAATTTAGCTACTTACTTCTTCAAAGTGTAATTCTTCTAAATACACTTCAAATTTCGCGAATTATCGTTACGGGTATTCCACAGTTTATGTTATATATTATTTATTATATTATTACGTCTATTTAAATATGTAATATGTAATTAATACGAATTGAATAACGAAAGTAATATTTACAATTATATACTTATTCGATTTCGTTTATATAGTCGCAGCATAGATTGAAATAATTCAGAAACATTTGCATTTCGATTAAATATCTGACATTTGGATAAGGAGCTATTATTACGTATTCCAATTATATTAGCTATTATATTATCTCATTTAATGGTATCTATAATTAGATACGTGCATCGAAATGGTATATTTTTGGTGCAAATCGGTGTACAGAAGCGGATCGTAATTTACATAGCTCATCGCGTTCATTGCACCAGACCAACGAATTGATGCGATACTTTATTGCGTGGTCGTAACAAAATCATACATAATTAAGAATGTATAACAATTATAAACTGCATCAGTCGAGTTCATAAATCACTCGGCCGCGGAAATGATTTAAAGCCAAAAACTTGAACTTGCCGTTGGTACAATTAAGATCGATCATCATCGTTTATTACGTTTGCATAAGTGTAAAATGAATATTAAACATTTGCGCATAACGACTGCACGTAACCACGGACAATCCACCTGAACTATTCTCAGCAATAATCGAGATATCCCATGCTTATCAGTACTCCATATTTCTTTCGAGTAACTTGAAACTCGCGTTCTTTACGTTCAACGCGTGTATATACACGTTTCCCATTGAATTAATCTAAGCTATACGGTTCAACTGTAGCTACCATTCAAATTTATCAGCGTAGATCGTATCTGCTTCGAGAATTCATTTAAACGTGCTATTATTCTTTTATTAGCAATTCTAGATAGAAGAAAGAATTCACTGGGTATTTAAACACTTTATTGCAAATAACAAAAGATCATTGGTGAAAGGAATATAGATATACATAGTAGGTAGGTAGATATTTTTTAAATAAATTTTCTTTCAAATCGAATACCAACCAAGATACTTAAATATATATATATATAATTTAGTTATCGTGTAAAAACGCATAATTTAAAAAGAAATAAAGTCGTTCATAGAATTATATCCGCCAGTGTTTATCAGTGTGTTTAAATATATTTATTTAATCCAAATTAAATTACCACCATTCACCAATAATTGATTAAAGGTCCGCTTTATTTGCCATGTCGAGTACGCCTCGAGAGGCAAGATAAGCTGGATGCAATAAAAATATATGGTGCCGATTAAAAAGCCGAACTTAAACTTGAAATTCAGACATAATAGGCAAGCACTTTAGATATAGTGTCTATATTTACATTAACTACCTCTTTTCTCGTTTTCTATATCGCAAACAATTTCATTCTGTCAATTAGGTACCGCTCATAATCTACAATTACTCTACTGATATAAATAAATATACTCGGTATGCACATTCCTACTGCAGAGAACAGTTTCATTTAAAAATCTACAACTATTACAGGATCTAGCAAATTGTGTATCGATACATTTATCGTTCCCTCGATTATATATTTCACTAATTTCTGTCTATGTAAATATAAACGCAATTAACGCTTTGACAGCCACGTACTTTTTATATGGTACACTCAGGGGCCCACGATGAAATTTCCATTATTCTTAGGATATAACGGTGAATTATCAAACAATGTGGCAAAAGAAAAAAGGAATGGTGGAAATTATTAATGTTTTCTATTCGAAGTTCTCCATTTATTTACGTTGTTCTAATATTCAAGAATTGGTTGCAATAAAACAAATATAAATTAAAAAAATTAGCATCGCGTTAGACGTGTTAATTTATGCAGCCACCAGACACGAAAATGACACCTAAGAATTGGATTACGATCGATATAAGAATGTAATGAACCGAAAATGACGAATCATTCGCGACACTCAGAGCCAAGATAACTCGTCCGCGGAAATCGTTAATGATAGGCGTGTTTCGAAGGAGTCAGTAACTCGTCATGGCAAATCACGTCAGTGTGAGCGAGGCGCAAGGTCGATTATACTAGCTAGAAGTCAAAGATAATCTCTGCTTATAATGGCAGCTGGCCCACCGACGGCGACGTGTGTCACAATATTGACTCGCATTGCAGCCAGCGTTGCGGTCCCTTAAGCACCTTTCGTTCGCCAGTTGGAAACGCTCCGCCTACGGGTTTCAGCTCTCTTCCTCTTTACCTTTTCCTTCTCTCTTTCGGTCTTTCTGGTCTTTCCCATTTCCCGACCCGCATTTTCGACCCGCCACCCCATTCTTGTCCCCGTTTCTTCGTCTCTTATGCGAAAATACGCGATTACGAGGGTTGCTAAGCACTTGCAGCCCTTTTTCTTTTTCATTCGCCATTTTTTAGGGTAGGTGCATGAGAAATATTCGATTATAAAAAGATTTATGCATTAGGAATAGAGGTTAAAGCGACTAAGGGGTGTGACACAAAATGGTGGCAGTTCCTTTTGAAATAGGGGCCTGGGTAATTCGAAGTTTCAGTCAAAACTATGACAATCGCGTCTTTGTTTGCTTTAAAAACGAATTATTTCATTTAAATAAGATTATTGAATATTTTTTATGGGTTTCCGGATTTGTTTTTATAGAGATGATAAAGGTTCCTGAAATATTTTTTATTTTTTTCGTTTAGCCTAGGTTAGTAGTAACTGGATTAATTATATATTTGGATGTTTATGTTCCTCTTTCATATTCCAAAAAGTTCCGTCAATTCCGTCTATCATGTGTATAGAAATACCAAGTATTTGTTTATTTATGAATTTCTCTGATTATTAACCCTTTGCACTCGACTATTTTTTGGCTAGAGGAGAGTAGAAAATCAAAGATTCTCTACTAAAAAACTGACGATACTTTTTTGAGCAGTAAATAAAGAATTGTAGAATTATTTGATTTCGACACCTCGCACACTGTTACATTACACTAAATTTGATATATTAATTAATATCGATCTTCCAAATTTTATGAAATGCTGACTAAAGGTCACCTCTCTAGTGCAAAGGGTTAATATCTTGCTAAACTTGATGGTTGAAAAATTTACCGAATATAATAAACATTAAGTACTTCGATATTTATGTAATTCATGTAAATATAACAAGATGGACTAAGTTCAAGAATTATAGTAGCCAAACAATTTCCGGTAATGATCGACTCTTTCGTCTTTCTGATAATTTATGCAACGCAGTGTAATTTCCTTTTCCTCGGATGATCGATGGCGCAATAACGCGACAAAGGCGTTTGTTGCCGTGGCCGATGGTCGGCGAGACGTAGACACTTTGTCAAAGTGTCATCACGATGTTTCTTACAAGTAGCCCTTCAGTTTCCCTAAACCCTGCTGCTCGGTACAGGTCCACAGCAGCTGTGGTAAATGCCGTAATTACTCGGTTAGTTTACGACTTTTAAGATGCGAAAATGCCGTGGTATCGCAACAATGGCAAACCGTCGACAAGCAAATGCCTTAATACACCAGAAAGCCTTATCTTCCTTCTAATCACTCGGACGCCTGTTTTCTACAATCCCTTCTATCGACGCTAAAAAATCCGTGACGAACGAAAGTGGTATCGTGAAAAGAATTTCACACAAATAACATTAGCATTTGATCCCAAAGAAATGGAACGTAAATTTCATTTTCCTTTCATCTCCATTCGAAACGTCGACTGACCTTTTTCTAAAATAAAGAAGCATCGAGGTCTCTAGAAAACGAAGAACGTTCTCGACTTATAAACTTTTTCCAGTCCCTAAGTAATACCATCGTTCAATTGTAAGCATTGTACCGTACATTTGGCTGTCGGAGATTAGAAAAATCTTCGTTCTAAAAATGGGCCAACGAATTCCATGGAAATTTAATAGCCGTGCACAGATGGGGGTCCGAGAGTAGCCCTAAAACGTTACCGTTTTAATTAAAAATGGGACAAAATGCGGCACGGTACAGCACTCTGTAGGACAGTTTGCCTATACGTAGACCTTTGTTTTGCATTGTCCGTCACCCAGGCTAAAACCTGATGATTGCTCTACATTGTACT